TTTGATTTTTATCAGCGATTTTTGATGTAAATATGTCTTTCAAACACGCTTTTAAATTCGTCTTAATTAATTAATAATTTGTTAAATATTACTATTTATTTATTATTTAAAATCGTCACCCTAAAATGTCACCCTGAACCACTGATCCTATCGCTCTCTAATTCACTACAGTACACAAGGAAATCTTTCTGCGGTAGAACCCGAAAAAATAAGTTAAAAAACTGGAATCGCATCCCCTATAATCATTCTCGAGGGCTTTTTACCGAAAAAAAAATACATAAAATAACTCTCGCATGTGCCACATGGCTCACCTGCCCTGGGGTGTGCTTGCGCGCTCCAATTCTCCTCTTCTGTCAAACGTTTTAGGGATTAAGTTCTCTGTGATTCCGCCGAGCGAACGTCTTGTTTAAAAAAAATATCATTCGAGCAGAAACGAATGTTGCCAATGCCATAAAGATCAATTAAAAATTAATATACTATTAACAAAAAATCCCTAAATCTGGTAATTTTTCGGTAGATTTGACAACGTGGATTCTAACAATAAACACTATTTTTTCGAAAAATTACTAGATAATTAAATACTAGAAGGCTTTTCCACTACGATTTCCGACTTTTTTCCTCCATTTTTTCAGTATTTCCGTATTTTTTTGACGTTTTAAAAGTACCCCGGCATTTATTTAAAACCGACTCCACTTTAGCGTAATTAATTAAACGGGCGTTAAGTAATCCATCAGGGAAATTTTTCCTCGGTAGAGTGCCGGGGCTTTCGGAATTAAATCCGCCGTCCCGGCGGCGGCGGCGGCGGCGTAGCAGAAGAAAGGCGAAGGGGCCGTCGCGACGCCGAGCCGCCCCCTGCGTGCCCCCCCGAAACGAAAGAACCGAGAAAAGAGGGCGCGAGTCGATCGCGAGTAATAAATGTCATTAGATTGACGTTTGACAGGTGTCATTAATAATTTGAGAATTGTACTTATATTAGGCCGAATAACAATAGAAACTGAGGCCTCAACGAGAAAAATAGTGACAGTGTGGTGAACTTTTTGACATTAGAGAATAAAATAGAGAACATTGGCTTCCTCAATTTCCTGAAAACTGATCGGTTAAACGGGGAGTTTTCGGGCCGTAATAAATGTTACTAGATTGACGTTTGACATGTGTCATTTATTATGATTTGAGAGTAGTACTAATATTAGGCCGGATAACAATAGAAACTGAGGCCTCAACATGAAAAAGAGTAACAGTATGGTCAAAAATATTAGAAATTTGAATTTATTAATTATGTAAAAATTAGCTTCCCCAATTTTTGTAAAATTTTTGGTGTTTTTAATTACCATTATAAGATTTTTTTGTCTTACTGATGACCCAAGTTCTCTCTAACCCCTCGTAGAGTCTGTGGGTGGGAGTGGCGCAAAGGGGGAGAGCGGGGCTTTTTTTCATACACTTGCCACTTTCCAATTTGAAAGTGCGTCTTCCCGTTGTCTTGGCGCATCTTGCTTAGGTTTTTTGAGAAACAATTAAAGAGACTGATGTAATCTGACGTGCCGTCGGCGTCGGCGTCGCGGCGTCGTCGACGAATTATTATCCCGGCTAGAAATAAATGGATCGAAAAAAACATAAAGGGGCTGCTAAAGGGAAATTATTAGAAATTAATCTACCTAAAGTGAATATAAAAAATAAAAAAAAACAAATAAAAATTGAGTTTTAATGTGTATTTTGGGGTGTATTATTAATTTGCTGTAAAAAATTGTGTTTTAAAAACCGTTAAATTACTGGCTTTCTTCCAAAAAACCGAAACAGATCCTTATCGTTGCGAAAGGAAGTGAATTCCTAACGATTTCCCATACAAATCGATGCAAATGCACGAAACACAATCAAAACTAGCAAAACTAAATAATTCGAAAAGAAACTAAAAAAAAAAAAATCTCAAAACTCAATCGCGTATTCAAATCGAAAAAAAGCGACTGTTTCCATTCATCCCGCCGACGATTATTACAGAGGAGCGCCAGTTTTTTTTTGGGTGCGAATAATGGAATAATGAGGTCGAAATGTCAATCTTTCACGCCGTTTCGACTTCCTCTCTAACGACCTCTCGATTATGCAAAGAATAGAAATCCATGCGAAAACCGTTAATGTAATGCCCACTTCTCGGCGCATTTCCTTATTTTGACTGGAACCCGTCACAATACGGGCCCGTCAACGCCGGTCGAATGCCCGTTTTACATGCACGCCCCACAAAAAAATTCATATTATAAGAAAATATCGCAATTTGAATGGCCCTCGGCCGCGCAATCGACCGGAATCGAGGGGGTTTTGTGCCGATTCCCGATTCGATTTTATCGATAACGATTGAGCTGCGGTTGCTCTACCGTGATGATTTTTTTTGCACCATTATCAGCATAATTGTCCAGGGTTTATAAACGTCCAGTTGGTTTCTTTTGCTATTGTCGATTTGTATAGGAATTCGTTAAGATCGAGATAAGGCGTTTTGAATCTCTAAAATCTACTTTTATTTGGAAATTTCACATGATCTTGTAACGTTTTGCTGTACAGGGTGGCGCAAAAATGATGGGACACGGCTTAACTGCATACTTTTAAGACGAAAATAAGCCATGTCCCAAGTCCCAAGCTTTGAAATTGATTTACGGTGTATTGGAGATAACGGATTTATTGTCGGTGCAAAACAAATATCAATGCATGTCACCTATAATTTACTACGTCACAAGTAGGCAGTGTTGTCGAACTTTAATTGAGTTTACAAAATCTTAGATTTTTTTTAAAATGGTCAAATGGCAAAATGATAAGAAAAAATTGAAAATTAGGGGTACCAGTTTCAAGTTTCTAAACGGCGGATGTATTCAGGAGCTCACTATAATTAATCATCAAATTCCTTTATCATTTGAAATATATTTAACAGTGCGAGTAAAAAATTTAGTGCATAATTTTACCCTTAAAAGTGTACATAGTGAAATTTCTGAGTAAACTTTTGAATCTGAATTATTTAGAGCTCAAATTGTGTAATTTCTCTAGTAGTTGAGGCTAGTAAACTAGAAAATAGAAGAAGAAATTGACAATTAAAAGTACGGATCGAATGACAACGGCAACTATGCAACTTGACAGTCAGTGCCTACCAACCTACTATAAGAAAATAATAATAATTTTATATACAATTATTGAATTTTGATAGTATATATTTTTTTGGTGGATTTAATTCTGCTTTTTAACATTTTCTATCATCCCTTGTTAATATTAAATTAAATTCTGCCGGTATTAAGTTTAATCTATTTAGTGTATTTATTTTTAAAAGTTGCTCACAATGTTTGGCAAGTATGACGACAGTAGTGACGTGCATTGATATTTGTTTTGCACCGACTGTAAATAAATATCTACATTTATTCTGAGTAACCCGACGTTATTTATTGCGGAAGGAAAAGATTAGGCGCTTAGTAAATTACGATTTACCAAAAAAAAAGTCGAAAACGAAGCGGTTTTTCTTAATAAAAAAACACAATTTATACTCTGACCGTATTTTTCATTGTTCCTAAGGTCGCATCTCGCCGAACTGCGGCCCATAAATCTCCGCCGCCCTCTCAGCTACTAATTAAAAATGCTAAATTGCGCGTGCCACCCCCGCCGCCTCCCTCTATCCCGCTCGCGGGGCGCGCATAAAAGAGAGCCATTATCCTTTTTATTTATCCCTTTTTTCTGTTCCTTCCTCCTTCTTATATTTTCGGGAAGCCCCGCCGGCGGCGGCGGCACGGAGACGGCCGTTTTAATTATATTTCGATTTTAGCTTAAAAATTCGATGAAAAAAAAGCGCACGAGCGGCGGGGAGAGAACAGGGGGCGGCGGGGACGGCGACAAAGTGGGCGGGAGGCTCCATAAATATTTTCAAAGGTGAATCAGGTAATACGGGGTGGATTTAGTTCGGGTATCGTTCGGGTGGGAGGGCATTTTTTTTAGATCAAAGAGAATCTCGGTAACTTTTAAGAAGATTCATATTTTTGTGTAATTTTTTTACGTCTAAAATGATCTAAAAATATCAATTTTACAACCAAATAAATTCGGTATACTCTAGAGAAATGTAATAAAAAATCATCCCTTAACAAACCTTACAATAAACACCGCGAAATTCTCGATTTTTAAAAGCGAAAAATCCCATTCCAAAGCAGCATAATTAAACCAATTACACGCATATTCTTCGATAAATTGAATAAGAGCCGCATTTTTCCCATCCGCGTCCGCAAACTTCTCCCTAATTCTATTAATCCCTCCAGCATTGTAGCTGGATATCCTCCTATCCCGCACGAGGGATATCCAGTTACTGTCACCTTTGATAACAAAGAAATAATCAACTCAACGAACAAAAAAAATACACAAACTAACGCGTATAACGTAACGTTTTTATTAATCCTAACAAGCCTATTTTGTAAATTAGGTAGAGTGTAACGTATCAAAGAATAGAAACATCATTTGGCCCGACATTCGACCCTATTTCGACGTTTTTTTTGCAAAAAATTGCAGATAAAAACGATGACAAAATCATCAAGCTCGCATTCAAGTCGTTACCGATGGAATTTTCGCTAATTAACTTCGAATTTCTGTTTGGAAAAAAATACAACACGACAAAATGGATTTTTTGCACGACAAGTTAAGAAATAACGTAATTTAACAACGGATACAGTTTCATTCAAGACAGTGTTAATCAAATTACGTTAAAATAACGACAAAATAGATTAAGCATAATACCTGCAGAATTTAATTAAATATTAACGAGGGATGATAAAAAATGTTAAAAAGCATAGAATTAAATCATCCAAAAAAATATAATTTGCAAAGTGCAAAGTTTAATTGTAAGATAAAAGATTTTAAGAATCAAAATAAGGTAAATGGAAAATTTTTATCACTCTCGATTTATCGATTCATTTGGGTTACTACGCATACAAAAATATTGAATTGATAGAGCAATCGAAAAAATCTGATATAGTTATCGAAATCACTTCGAAATGGTTACCTTATTAGAAGTTTTGCTAAGCTTTTGCATTTGCTGTACATTAGGTAAGCCCGTTCAGTAACTACTACTAATTATACAGGATGTCCCAATGAAAAGTAGCCCCTTTAATGAGCTTATAATCTTTAAACGCCTAAGTTTTGCTACGGTGATACAGAATTATTAAACATTACCAATACAGGTGCCTTTATTAAGGATTTAAATGGAACACCCCCTTTATGTAGAGGTATTTTGAAAGATATACCTACTCTTCTACTTTTCAAAAATGTATTATTTGTACTTGTTATTCTACAAAAGAAGGTATCATATTTCATAAAATTTGGTTAATGTGATTTTAAAAGAGGGGATTTTTATGAAACACCCTGTACAGGCGATACAAAATTTTTGTATCACTGCCTTTAAAAATGATTAGCTCACTAAAGGAGCTACTTTTCATTGGGACACCCTGTATTATAATTATTTCTCGATTGGTAATCAATATTATCTATATTTTAGTAAATCCTTACAGCATAGGAGTCGTCGATCGTCTAATTCAATTAGTAGATAAAGCGCAAGGTTTCAATCTACTCGCGCCCGAAAACAATCACGATAAGGACTTCACGAGAGGATTGTTTGCCGTAAACGAATTCGATCGAGGCAGGTAAATAAAACGCGAGCCGTTTAAAGTACTAACAAAATAATTATTACCCAGGTAGGGACCCCCCTTTTCTGATCGAACCCCCCGGTTTTAATTACACCATAGAGAACCGATTGGGCCAATGGATCCTGTACAGTCATTCGAGCTTCGATTACGAGAAGGATCCGAGATCGTACGTGATACGCGTCGGTTTCGGCTACGGTGAATGGAAAATCCTCAAGTTGCTCATACAGAACATCGACGATGAGCCGCCCGCGCTCGTCTGTCCCGATAACATCACCATGGTGGTGAGCATTTAACTATAAAATTGACAAAAAAATATCCCATATGTAGAAAAATACGCAGAAAAGTTGATAGTTGATAGAAAGAGTGTTTGTTTAGGAGCTCCAGGACCTGGAGCTATTTGAAGATTACTTTCGTGGATTCAATTCAATTAAAACATAGTATTTCTGACATTACACATGCTATTTCAGAATTTAAATTAATTCAAGGAAAAATGAGATAAAGTAAATCATTAGATTAACTTGTTGTTAGAGTAATAATTAGAATAACAGTAGAACGGGTTGTATTTTAATACTCTTTAAAAATTTGTGTTTTTTTTTGAAATTGTAAGATGCAGGAAATAACATTCGACAGGAGTGAACGGGCGGTGTTGCCAATAGTGCTGCCGTAGTAGAAAATAATAAAAGGCACGAGTGTTGGAGAGATTCGAGCAATGGTAGGGAAAAAATCTTTCAATTCTTTCAATTTCTACTTTTTTCTGCTCTAGTCTGCTCTGTTCTACTCTGACGCTACTCTTTTCTGAATCTACTCTACTCTGAATCTGCTGTCGTACTCTACTCAACTCTACTTTGAATCTTCTCTCTGAATCTGCTTTAAATCTACTCTACTCTGAATCTACTCCACCCAACTATACTTTGAATCTACTCTACCCAACTATACTTTAAATCTACTCTACTCTGAATCTAATCTACTCTACTCCACTTTGAATCTACTCTACTCTGAATCTACTTCCCTCTGAATCTAATTTACTTTGAATCTACTCTACTCTGAATCTACTGTACTCTACTCACTCGACTTTGAATCTACTCTCTGAATCTACTTTAAATCTGCTTACTCTGAATCTACTCTACCCTTCTCTACCCTACTTTGAATCCTACTCTACTTACTCTACTTTGAATCTAATATTAATCTACTCTCTGATTCTACTCTAAATCTAATCTACTCCACTCTGAATCTATTCTGCCCAACTCTACTTTGAATCTAATCTATCCTACTCTACTCTGAATGAATCTAATCTACCCAACACTACTCTGGATCTAATCTACTCTACTTCACTTTGAATCTACTCCACTTTGAATCTACTCTACTCTACTAGACTTTAGACATGTTCTTACAGAATTAAAATTAAATTAAGATAAAGCGAATAATTCTTTATTTTAGGAAAACTTGTCGTATGATGTGAACAATTCCTCTGCGATATGCTGGCTCTCTGATCCCGACGGGTTTTTGAATCAAACGACGTTTAAACTGACTGTGAGTAATTTGTACTTGAATATTTTCGATTTACATTTCAATTTATCGTTTCATTTTTTATTCCAGGGCACTTACAGCGACAATTTCGAAATGAAATTACCGGTAAAATACGATGAATTCGCGCAAACTACAGAAGCGATTATAACGAAGAAAGCGTTCGAAAGCGATGGAGATGTCTATCTAACTATACAAGCGAAGGTATTGGAATTATATACAGGGTGTCCCGCATAAGAACCGACACAGTTTGAGTATCACTGAGATATTATTTTTTTTATTTGAAACTCTACTGAATGCCTATAACTTCTGAGCAATGTAACTTTGTATTAAGTTGAGTTTAGTTTTATTCCCCTGTACTCTCCTGCTGAACCGGTTCTTATGTGGGACACACTATACAATTTATATTTATTTATAATAATTGTTTAGGATGGGGCTGGTCACAGTACTGTCCCGAAAGCTAAGATCGACGTGAAAATCAAAATTATAAAAGATACCAAATAAACTAAAGCGCCCTCAAGAGATCTCATTAATTATGTATTTCAATTAAAAAATGCGTTAAATAAAAATGGTAAATTTATTTATTTATTATATGTACGTAGCAAATGAAACAAACCTAATTTTATTCGTTAATAAAAATTAACAAAAACTGTATTATACATAAGTAGTCCAAGTTATTATAAACAATATTAATCGCCTAATAAAAATTAGAAGGTGGAATTCTGGTATAAACAATAAATACAATACTGGCTGGAGAATAAGGCAATAAATTTTATTTTAAGCGTTCCACGAAAATCAAGATTGCTGCGAAGCCAAGTAGTCATGGTATTTTTTCTCCTGCGCTTGATACAACTTCTGCAATTTCTTCATCTGCCCTTTACTAATCTCCTTTCCTTCGATATCGTGCGTGGGAAATCCCTAAAAAGATACACCGCAATTAACAAACAATTAGCCAACTAATTAGTTATCTTACGTTTTCATCGAATTTCGAGTACTTGTCGGTTTCTCTTCGAAACAATTCGCTCGGCGGTATTTTCTTCAGTTCCTCCTTCGCCGCCTGTTCCTTCTTCTTCCTCTCCTTTTCGGCCATCTTCTCCCGTTCCGCCTCCTTCTTCGCCTCTCTCTCCCGCAACAGCGTCTCCCTATCTACTAATTTCAGCACGGTAGATTCACCTGTGGCCACCAAAAACGGCATGTTTACATTTATTCATTAAATCAAACAATATGGAATCGTGGGATTCGGTTTTATCGCTCTGGGACAATAAAAATTTAATAAGATGCGATACGGTACAATAGACTATAATAGAGAGGACATTTTGAAGTATCGGGTTGATAATGGAATGTATTTAAATAGAACTGGTTGCTTTCTAATACTTGTTTAAATGGGGATTTTTTTGAAGTTGTAAGTTGCAGGAAATTCGACAGGAGTGAATGGGCGGCGTTGCGAATTATTGCATTTTGTGGTGAAGCCGTAATAGGAAATAGTAAGAGGCCACGATTGTTCAGTTCATTCGAGCAAGGCTATGGAAAATATTCTTTATTCAGTTTCTACTTTTTTCGGCTTTACTCTGCTTTGTTCTACTCTGAATCTACTCTTTTCCGAATCTACTTTACTTTGAATCTACTCTACTCAGAATTTACTCTTCGAATCTACTCTGAATCTAATTTACTCTTCTCTAAATCTACTCTACTTTGAATCTAGTTTACTCTAAATCAACTCTACTCTATTAGATTCTACTTTGAATCTACTTTGAATCTACTCTCTGAATTTACTCTACACTAAATCTAACCTACCCTACTCTGAATATACTTTACCAATTCTACTTGGAACCTCCTCGAATCTACTATCTGAATTCTACTCTACTCTAAATCTAATCTACTCTACACTGAATCTAATCTACATTACTCTGAATCTACTCTTCTCTACTCTACATTAAATTTACCTTCTCGATCCTCTAATCTGACTCCGATGTTCGGCAAGACTTCATCTCTCAATTCGTCGCACATGCGCAGAATGTCCGCGGCTTTTAAGGACCTGGCGCTCGTCCTGACTCTGTCCCTGAAATCGGCCAGAACGGAAACGTAGGGCAAAACGAGCCCTTCGACCTGGAAATGAATATCTCGTTTAAAGAACGATTTCGATCGCTCTCGTTAGATAAGAACTTACATCATTACCGGCCGATTCTTTGCTCATGGGAAAACCTAGGCATTCCTTGTCCTCGATGGCGCCGAAAATTTTCAAAATTTTGGTAACGTACAGCGCGATGTCTTGTAGAAGAAGCGCGTTCGGGGGTTTTCGGTCGCCGAAATAAACGTTCGTGTTTGTGACGAGATCTCTCAGGGAATCTAAAGTCGATCGGGTATCGATGTTATCTAGAATTAAAGCGAAAATAATGAGGAATTATTGTATGTTTGAAGGGAACGGAAAGATAAAAAAAGATGTCGCTAAAAAACGATCTTTACCACCAATTCTTAATGTGATTTGTAGTTTTATAAAAAACTTACTTACCACATAAAGCAGCATGAACATCTGCCGTAGTTTTCATAAATTTATCATTCAATGCCAGTTCATGTTCGCCCCATTTGGTAAAAGTATCTACCGTTGTGGCGCTTGAGCAAGTTTGTCGAGTTCTGTCTTTCACGTTAAGGAAAAATTCCTGCAATTCCATATAAATAAAACATCCCAAACACATCATAAAACACTTACGTTAAATAATTTCTCGTAATTCAAAGCGATTTCCATGGTGTTCGGGCTGTAATCCAGGGAATCCTTCCAGGAATGGAGGAGGAAAGCGAACCGCAATTGCCTGGACGTGTATTTCGATAGAGCATCTTGAATCGTAACGAAATTCTTCAAAGACTTGGACATTTTACATCCTGCTATAGTCAAATGCCCCGAATGCAGGAAGTATTTAACCCAATCGGGCCGCTCGAAATACGCCTTAAAAAAATACACGAAACGTGAATAGAAAATTAGTCTTTTTCGTAATTAAAACGTACTTCGCTTTGGGCTATTTCGTTATCGTGATGGGGGAATTTCAGATCCACCCCGCCCGTGTGTATATCCAAAGTCTCCCCGAATATATTCGAAGCCATCGCCGAGCATTCGATGTGCCAACCGGGCCTTCCTGGGCCCCATTCCGATTCCCAAGAGGGCTCGCCCGGTTTGCTCTTCTTCCACAAAGCGAAATCATTGGGCGAACGTTTCTCGCTCCTTTGATCGGCAGTCGTCAAATCACCTAAAAATACATAACTTAATAATTTAATAACGATTAAATTATTATCTTTACCTTCTCCTTCTTGCAAACAGTTCGTGTCACCGTAAGCTTCGGGTACCAGTTTAGCGTAAACGTGTTTGTCGCATTTGTCGAAGGCCCCGACATCGAAGTACACGGAACCGTTGGCTTCGTAAGCGAAGCCGTTGCTTATTATAGTTTTAATGTAGTTTATTATTTCGGGAACGTACTCGCTGACTCTCGTTACTACGTTAGGTCTGAGTACGTTCAAAGCGTCCATGTCTGTGTAGAAGGCTTCCTCCCAATGCCTGGGTAACGAGGTAAAAATATCATTATCGGTTACTTTAGATCCGGATTGTTGATCCAACCAATCGGATAAAGGGTCTTTGCAGTCTTGCACGAATTGATGGGTGGTTTCTGCTAATTTATTCGAATCGCCACCCTTCACTGCGTTCTCGAGGTTTTCGATGGATTTCGTTAACCTACAATAATCGTTTTATTCCTCTATAGTTCACAAAATATTATACTATACAATTACCTATTTAATGTGTTTTCGAACATCTGCTTTTTGTCCGGATCGGTACTAGTTTTTGCTTTATTTGCCACGTTATTTAGAACGTGCTTAGCATCCGAAACAATGGTTTCCAATGAGTGATTCTCCGATACGTATTTATCGAATAAGAAATTTTGTCTAGCTCTTTTGATTATTTTATCATCGATATCAGTTATATTCATTACGCAGAATACGTCGTAGCCAAAGTAACCGGACAGTACTCTTCTCAGTATATCGAATGTAATGTACGATCTAAAAATATAAAATATTGCAATATAGTTATCCAAAATATTGCTAGTTTTACTCGAGTACCTGGCGTGTCCCATATGGGAGGCATCGTACACTGTAGGCCCGCAGCTGTACCATTTTATCTTCTTTCCGGACAAGGGTACGAAGGTTTCCTTCTTTCTAGTTAAACTATTATAGAGTTTCAAAACTGGCTGATTGTCCGATAGCTCCGGAGGACTCCAAGGAGGTTGAGCGCGTTTGGACATGTTCGAATATTAGAAATCTGCAAAGGTAATCACAAATAAGTGTCCCCATCATCGAATATTAGGGAGTACCGTGAAACGTGTCAAAATATGGTTGAATGTATGCCGCATTTTCTTTCGGAAAACATGAGTTAAACGACGGTTGTTTGTCAATAAAGTATGTACGAAAACTTACTTCGAGAATTGATCTTCGGTGTAATTAGAAATATTTCTTTTTAAAACATCAATTGCACGATTATAAATGGTATAATTGCTGGAAAAAATTATATTTCAATACTTGTCAAATGACACATAACCTAACTTTTTCTTCTTTTATATATTTATTTTGGATGGCCGGTTGCCCAGTCACGGACAATGAGAAAAGAGGAATGAAAGACTTCACTCCATAGAGAAAGAAAGATTTTATTTTTTATTTTGTCTATGCTTCACTCATTCTTGTCAATGTCGGGATTCTTTCTCGCGCTAAATAATTAATAGCACGTTTACTTTTCGCGCAAATAATATTATAATAAATTGAAAAGTACAATTGAGTTGTTGATTGACCACCTCAGCAACCAAAGTATAAAATAACCGTGTGATCATAGGCCATTTAGGCAACCAGTTTTACAACTTGTCATTTTGGTTATCTACCCACCAGAACTTTATTGAATTTAATCAAATAATTGGAAAAATAATCTCAGAAAAAACAACTTTCCCGCATCCTTTGATGTTATTTTATTATTACAAGTTACGAAAAATCAAGAAGTTACTGTTGCTGTTGGTTCATAAGCTCCAATTGGGCGGCGGCGATTGTCTTCATGCCTTCCTGGACGCTGCTCAAATTGCCTCTCCACGAATGCAACAAATCGCGCAATTGTTGCCATTGCGCCCTTCCGAACGTCCTGTGCATCGTACTCGATACGAACACTTTCCTCGAAGACTGGTCCATTCGAGCTCTCACCAACTTCGTTTTCAATACTGCAAATGCCACGTTAAATGGAGTCGTTTTCGTGGTATAAAGGCTTACCTTCGATGATGAAACTTTCAACTTCCTCCGGCTTGATTTGGAGTTCTTGTTCAATAACATCGAATGATATTTCAGGGTTGCTTTCGGCCAATTGCATGAACGACAGCAATCTCATTTTTTGCAAGTTTTGCTCGTGATTTAAACCTGTTGGAATAAAAATAATTATGATCTAAACTATAAATATAAGAGCGAGAAACTCAAACTGACCTTGTGCCTTGACGAACTCCTGGTGTTCCTTATAAAATTTCAAGTAAGCCGTTAAATTTTCGCTCACAAATATATTCAGTAAATCGTGAATCAATTCTCCTTCCAGAGACCTAACAGGCTTCAAGGACAACAAAGGATCCAGCAGGAAAGTATTGGGATCGGCCAATGCGGATGCTATACAATGGATAGCATCTTCTCGAGCCAGCGAAGCATTTTTATCAGTGTATGTGCCGAGTAATTCGATCATAACCAAAGCCGCCTGTTCACTGCGAATTTTAATACATAAATGATTCCTGTAAAGTATAATATTGGGAATACTAACCTGTTGTTGGATTTTACGAGCACCTCATGCAAGAGTCTGTACAGCTTTTGGAGTTGTTCATTCGACGGAGGGCAATTGGCGAACTGTTGTTTCAAGTGATCGATGTCCTGGAATACCATTTTTACTGAATCGGTTTGCTTGGCTATCTGGATGAGATGATAGTAAACTGGATAACGCATGGGCGAACGGTCGTCGAGACTTTGGAAGAGCAACCACAGACTGCAAATTAGGAATGTTATCATAATTTGTATAGGCATAGTTTGTTAAAGCACTTACGCTCTGAGACAAACTAAGCTCAATTTCGGGCCCTGTGCTCTCGTCAATTTCTCGCAAAAAGCCAAAATAATGTTTTCGGACCTGTCTAAAGGAATCTGTAATAAACAACTACCATTATTACGAGGTAAATTCGCAATTACAACACACTTACCAAAACCATTATCGATACTATATCATTCAACACAATTTCCACGTCGTTTTCTAGACCCTCTTTAAAACACGAATCGCAAACGCCTATTATTTTATGCAAATCATCCTCTATGCCTTTAGGGGATTTTTCCTCGGAAATTTCGGCCCCGAGACTCTTCAGATAAACCCGCAGCTCTTGGGCCTACAAGTAACATAACCTCAACACATATGTTCCTGAAAATTACAGATAATGCCGTAAAAATAGTACGTACTTGGTCCTCGGGGGACATGTCAATAAATACTGGAGGCACTTGCATTTTTCCGTATTTAAATTATAGTTTTAAGTGGAATTAGTAATAAATAACCTACGAAATAGCCACACGGGCTTTGTAATTACGATAGTTGACAATATGTCAAATGTCAATGTCATAAATGTCAAGTGAATTATAAATTGCAAAAAAAAAGAGGAATGAAGTTTGACATTTCCATAAAATCTGGTATTTTCAGTGTTTCGTGGTTTTACGGACTCGAAGAACGTACCAAAAATTCTCGTTTCTTTGTTCGAAAATCGAAAGTTTTTGCCGATTTCCTTAAAAACCGGGCGAAAAACCGCCTTTCCGTCGACAACGAACCGTCTTCCCGGCCATTTCCAATTTCACAGCCGGCTCAATCGCACCGCAAAAGGCGATTTATCGACGGAATTTATCTCTTGCGATCAGCTGTGCACACATTTAACAACACATTCTCACCGTGGTGGATTCGAACGATCCGAATTATCATAGAAGATTCGTCGCGAAAGGGAAAAACTGAATTTCCAGGATGTTCAGCTGCCCGTGCCTTAACATTCTCATCGAAACGGCCTCCAGTTCGTCGGAGTTCCCCAGGGCTACGCCGGACCTGCTGAATTTGAGCGAGACCGAGAGGAAAGACGTTTTTTTCCGACAAGTAAGTGATTGTTTTCGTGCGATTTTACAGGACCGGTTCTCACCGTAAGGGCACCCGAGGGGGCCCGAGATGGTAGTTCGCACAGTGTTGCCAACCGACGAAGAATGTTATTTAATTTCGAATTTTATTATTTCAGGACCTCCTGCAAATATCCAAATTGAAAAACATAGTCAAAACTCAACCGAATTTAGTCCACACGAGGCACACCGGCAACTGGATGGTCCATTGTTGTATAAATTGTATCAAAGAAATTTACGCTTTACACAAAGAAAAAGGAGCTTCGTGCGTGGTCGTTTCTACCAAATTACTAGTATGTTACTTTTATTTTTTGCACTAAATTATTGGGTTCAAATTGTCTAAAATCAATTTCGGAATTTGTCCTGTTTTATATTCAATAATATTAATGTACGTTGTATTGTAGGATGCCAAATCGATAGAGAGAATTAGGGCTGAATCCATTCAATTATCCAAGATTTTTAATATTATCGTGAATCCTTGCGACATCAGGGAGGATACGACGCTCCTAAAATTGTGTGAGTGAAAAGTTTCCAATCTGTAGTTTGTTTTTAAAAGCTGAAAAAGTCCTGAAAATCAACCTAAACGATTCTAAGAACTATCAAGATTACTTTAAGAAATCGCCAGATGCAGTGAATTTTTCGAGAACTGGCAACATTGTCGCAATTCAACCGCGAATTTACACATTTTTATTGCCAAGTTATTTTCGTTAATTCAAGGCTAACGTTATTATGGTTTTATTTAAATTCCGTTGAATTATACATTTTGTCAATAACGAATTTCCATACAGCCGTACATAAATGTTTAAATTTTCAAAATTAATTAACATACACTTTCGAATGTTACGAAATCAAACGGTTTCTCGCAGGAAATTCTTTATACAGGGTAAACATTTCGAATATATGTTGTTGAGCTCAACATTCACTCAATTCAATTCTTAATATTTTTAGATAAGAAATATGATGCCGAAGCGATTGTGAAGAATATCAGAGAGACTGTATCTGAATTTATGAGAAAAGAAATGCTGGCCGTAGAAGATAGGATCAAAAAATACACCGAAGAACAATTCGAATCGATGAATAGCCTGAGAGACACGGCCTACGAGGAGCACGATCATTTAGTCACGTAAGTTATTTAATCCGCTTGTACAGTTGGTGCAAAACAAATATCAGTGCACGTCACTACTGTCGTCATAATTGCCAAGCATTGTGTCCAACTTTTGAAAATAAATACACAAAATAGATTAAGCTTAATACATGCAGAATTTAATTTAATATTAACAAGGGATGAAAGAATATGTTAAAAAGCAGAATTAAATCATCCAAATAATATATATTATCAAAATTCAACGTTTGTATATAAAATTATTATTTTCTTCAAGTAGGTTGGTAGGCACTGACTGTCAAGTTGCATAGTTGCCGTTGTCATCCGATCGGTACTTTTAATTTTCAATTTCTTCATTTTTTTTTCTAGTTTACTAGCCTCAAATACTAAAGGTTATTCAGCCTAATTATCAAGAAATAAGAATTTTTTGCTTAGTTATCTTTTCCACATGTTAGAAATGACACAATTTGAGCTCTAAATAATTCAGATTCAGAAGTTTTTTCAGAAATATCACAATGCACTCTTTTAAGGGTCAATTGTAAACTAATTTTTTTATTCGCACTTTTAAATATACAGGGTGTTCAGAAAATAGAAGTCAATAATTCGGGAGGATAAAGGAATGATTAATTATAATGAGCCCCTGAATCCGTCCGCCGTTTAGAAACGTGAAACAAATACCCCTAATTTTGAATTTGTTCTTGTCATTTTTCCATTTGACAATTTTAGAAAATTCTTAGATTTTGTAAACTCTATAAAAGTTCGGCAACACTGCCTACTTGTGACGTAGTAAAAAATAGATGTGCATTGATATTTGTTTTGCACCAACTGTACGAATATACGATTCGATTGAATTATTTAGAAAATTCGAGTTCTTTCAGGCGTTATATTTGCAGAACTTTTATCCCGAATTCAGCCAAAATAATGAGCTTTTTTGCTGATAAATCCGTCCCCGTTCGCTTCATTTTCTCGGGAGTTTGTTGAAAATAAATAACGAATATTATGTGATTGTTTTCGTCGCGACCAACAATCGTAAAATTAAAATTGTTTACGAGAGAACGAAATAGGTATATGTGAAATAATATATTTTTCGTTATCTTTGCCGTATAAATATAGATTGCAATTTTACGGGCTTCGCCTGCATTAAACGTATTTTATTTCTTATTCAGCGTGCGGTGAATTTTTTATATACCTCGGATTTAGGTACGTTTTTTATTTACAATTCCATTGTATTTTATGCGTAAATAATTTTATCTAATACTCTAATTATTTTTTTAAAATAATCTTAATAGTATCGAATCAAGATGGCGATACTCGAATCTTGTTTACTAATCGACGAAATACTATTTCTATCGACTCGTAATATAAATAAAATCCCGCAAGTATATTTTTATCAAATAATATTCTGTTTCGTGTTGTAGATTAGTTCAAAGTTTATCGAACGAAACCCAACTGAAAAGTACAAAAAACCCGATGAGTTCCGAAGGAAGCCAACAGGACACTTCGCAGTGCAGCGAATTCATGGATTCGGGACTCCTGCTGGCAGCAGGACATCCCAAACAGGTCAGTCGAATCGAAACGAACGACAAAATAGGCGTTTCGCACGACAATAAACCGAAAATTATCGTTATTTTTTTAGACGAAACGGTCCCCCAAACGGCAGAGAAGCACCCCGGTGGGGCACAGTTCCTCCTTCGATGCCGAAGGCCTCTTCGACTTCGAAGGCAGCGACGGCGTGACTTCGCATTCGGAAAGCGACGTTGGAGAGAGCGACAAAGACGGTACTATTTCTCCGCATATACAGGGTGTTTCTAAATATCGCGAACTCACTGAAAAATGTAACCGCATTATGGGGTTATTACGGGTTAATTGGGTGCAATATGGTCAATTCTACGAGTTGGACAAAGAAAGAGTATTAATATAACAGTGGTGAGAGTGAGAAAGTTGCAATCCCACAAACATCACTCTTTCTTTTTCCTTTATAGGAGACTTTGTTGCACCCATGCACAGGGATTTTTAAGTAAACCGCCCATTAGAAGTTTTAGGAGATCCTGAGGAGTTAAAAATCTGAAAATTTAGGAGTAAAGGATAATCAATGTTGTGAGTTTTTCTAAAATATTTTCAACCAGAATCTCCCCATCTAACAAGTGATATTTAGAAACCCCGTGTACTTCCCCCGCATTTCTACCAAAGAATTTCATCGAATTTATTCCAGATAAAGATGACAGAATCCACGCTTCGAGGCCTCGGTCCCAGAAAATGAGCGTGGCGAAATCGTTGCCAATGAACATTCCGACGTTTCTCTCCAGAAATAGGAATACATCATCAGAGGATTTGGACGATATCGTAAGTTGATTGATCGATTCGAACGAGATTATTGAGAATAAGGAATGTAATTTGTTTTATTTCGTAGACGCAAAGTGAGAACTTAGACATAGCGGCGAGTATAAAGGCGTTGGCGAAGAGCGTGCACGGGGACGCCGTGTTCGGGGAATTACCGCCTCCGAGGTTCAGCACCCAGCTCTAGTCTTCCGTGCGCACGCGCAGAACGACGGGGAAATTCAGCGAGGAGAACAACAATAGATCGTTAAGGAAATGGAAAGCTTACCTGTAATATTTATCGCATTGCGTAGAATGTAAGTTTATTTTTTTTGCTTGTTCGTATCGAGTAATCGAAGAGGGGTATTTGTGTTATTAATTTCTCCATAAATTGTAAATCTCCTTTTCGATGCTTGATCGAAGAACGAGCCGCATAAAGTTCGTACGTTTCAAAATGACAATGACGTCTCGAGCCAGCCCGTTGCAACGTTGCCGAATTGTGATTGAAATCCTTTATGTTACTGATATATTTAAAAGTCGTAAATACTTAGAATTTAACAAGAAAAAGAAGATCTTATAATACACACGCACAAAATATACACCAAAAACTCACGAAAAACACATAAAAAAACTCGTGAGAAACTGATAAACGTACAGAAAGCGTACGAAAAACCTAAAAACTACTCGCAAACTTGAAAAATAAAACAGGACAAAAGCAAAAATCGCTCGAAATCATTTAGAACGCTCCAGGATCATTTAGAACTGTCTAGAATCATTTGGAAGTCACAAAAACAACGAATTGTAGTCAAAACCTGTCGACTACAAATAGCGGAATTATGAGACTAACGATGTGGCAACAGCGCATCGGCAATTCAACCGCGCATCGTAAAATTCCCCTAGTCAAATGGCAGAATTAACATTGGCGCTAGGGACATTTCGAACTGCGTGGAAATTGCTAAAAATGGCGCCATTGTCATTTTAAATCGTACGAATTTTAGTCATCGAAGTGCGATTTGTACAAGTGTGTTATTTCGTTTATAGTTCGTTCTGATCATATCCTTCTCGGACGAATTATGTTTGTTTTGGTAAATTTTTTAAACTCTGGCGTATATTTTTGTTGTATACGAACGCTATGATTGTTTGAGTTTCAGTTTAATGAGATTTTATGACAATTACTTGATCGTAATGCAAATTTTTTAATTGTACTGGTTGTCCCGATGAAAAGTAGCCCCTTTAGTGAGCTATTAATATTTAAACGCCTACATAAAAACCAAGCGATTTTCGTTGGTATATTTTATTTTGCTACAACTTTTTGTTATAGTGACACAGAAATTTCGTATCGCCTGTACAGGGTGTTTCATAATAATCCCCTCTTTTAAATTCACATTAACCAAATTTTATGAAATAGGACCTCTTCTTTTATAGAATAACAAGTACAAATAATACTTCTACATATACGGAGTGTTCCATTAAAAAAATCGGTTACTGTGAATTTAAAAGAGGAGGTTTTAATACAACACCCTGTATTGGTAATGCATAATTTCTACATCACTGTAACAAAACTTGTAATAAAATAAAACATATGAGAGAAAACCCCATGTTTTTATGATTAGGCGTTTAAAAACTATAAGCTCATTAAAGGGGCTACTTTTCATTGGGACACTCTGTACTTTGAAGATGCAGAGTGATAAAATGAAAAGTAAGGATTTTTTTTGTAACCGATACCACGAAAATGCTTCGATGACTGCGATGAATTAGTAATATTTAAGCTTAAAAACGAGGAAATTACGGTCGGCAGGACCCTCGAGGAGCTAAGATAACATAAGGATTATCTCAGGAAAAAATATAGGTGTATTAGCGAAATCCAAAAATTTAAATTGCTCTGCGCATTCGCGTGTGATTTCATTAAAATTCCAATTCAAATTCTTCAAAATTTTGTTCTTATTTGAAAAATTGTTTTCGCGGAAATTTAATGAAATTTCTTTTAGTTCGTACTGGTTGAAACTGAAAACGAGGAATTATCGTACTTTTTAGTTTCCCCTCGTATATTAACATATTATTCGCTTTTTATATTACGAATATCAGAAAGGATAACAATTGTTTCTATAATGTTACTAATCGGATGAAATATTTTGTATACAGTTATATTTAAAAAGTGTTATTTCAAATATGTATCGTTGTTATTTTTTGTAAAAATATACAAAATTTAATCTAGTCCTTAATTGGCAACTAAGTTACAAATTCGTTACGTATAGTGCGTTCGCGATAACTCGACGATGACGTCACGCGTTGTAATTTTATTCTTTAACGCCTAATTATTAAATAAATGTGTGACGTCATCGATGGGTTAAAGTGAATATTTAAATGCATTTTCGATTATTTTTTTTATTTTTTTAATAACCTACCAGTGCCATATTTAAGCGATTTATTTAGTTTTTCGAATACTTTACGAACGCCAGAACGGTCCGGAACTCGTTCGACATTAATTATTACGTGAAATACTCGAAAAATGCATCAATTTCCTCGGAAATTGAGGGAGAGCGGGGTAGTTTTTTTGGTTTTTTTTTAATTTTTGCAATACCTTGTATTTCGCCGTGTACTGTACTGTAAGATCTATTAATTTGATCTGTTGTAATTTTAGTTTAATTTTTTAATCGCTTTATTACTGTGTTTATTTTTTTTTACTTGTAAGATTATTATTCGCCAGACGACGGATAAAATCGTTTGTTGATATGTAAATATGAAAACCGAAAATTAAATCACTGAAACGTACAAGTTAGTTTGTAATTGGATTTTTTTAGAATTGACGAGTTCGTTCGTTTCATTAAAAAGATGTTTTTTTAAAATTTTGCGTGATTTTTTATTTCTTGAAGTTTGTAGAAAAGTTGTTTCTATGCTGAACATATACCAAAAAAATATAAAAAAGTTATCATAAAATCCCTTAGTAAAATTGGCTGAAGCTCGGTAAACACGAATTAATACCATTTTATTAGGTAAATTTTAAAATTCTGCATAAATTTTCTGTTTTCGAATTTTTTTCGGGATTTATTTTAAATGCAAGACGCGACAGACCGTAAATAATATATATGCCCAGGCATTAGAAAATTATTTAAAAAAAACAAAAAACTTAATAAATAAACCCAAATACGTAATTGCCATTGTTCAAAAAAAATAATTTTTAAGCCGGTGCAACAGATTAAAAAAAAATATTTATGCAGAGAAACGGTGTTTGTTTGCGTTGAGATTGTTTGATAAAATTTATTTTTTTATCAAACGGACTCTTTCTGTTAGAAACGAGAGTTAAAATTAGAAAAGTTTGTATAAAAAATATTTTATTTTAATAAAAAAAAACACTGAAAAAAATATAATTAAAATAGGTATACCTACAGGGTGTTAATTAATGGAGTGCCCATACTTCAGGTTGTGAATAATTGGGTGATTAGAAGAAAAGTTTATATTAATATATGTCCATAACCTCTTCTTTTTCGAGATACAGGGTGTTACAGTTTTAGAAAAAAACTTTTCTACCATAATTTTCTTATTACTCCAGTTATGAAATTTTGTACACAGTTTTTAATTATAAAGGAGCATTTTCTGGGGCAAAACATTTTTGAATTTTTTTTCCAGTGACGTCCGTACGATGTTTGAACTGAGAATGTATGAAGAAAAAATGGTACGCCACTGCTTTTTCTAAAAACCAAAATTATTTTTAAAGTACTCATTTATTTTGGAACAAATTTGGTCCGAGGACTTAGTTTCGTAAAACCCACCATTTTCGCGTAAAAAAATAAAAACCAAAACATTTTTCCTCAGTATTACAAAAATTATTTGGAGTAATAAGAAAATTATGATAGAAAAATATATTTTTTTTCTAAAACTGTAGCTCGAAAACTAAGAGGTTTAGGACATATATTGATATAAACTTTTCTTCCTAAAATCATCCAAATGATCACATCCTAAAGTATCGGCACTCAATTAATTAACAGCCTGTATAAAAAAAAAAACAAATTTCTTCAGAAACCACCTATAATGGTAAAAACAGATTCATCGCTAAATAAAATATACAGAGTGATCCCAAGAAGTTTTACTCGAACAAATTTACCGCAGAAAAATCGAAATAACTAAAAAATTAACAGTTTTGTAAACGAAAATTAAAGAAAATAATTATTTTACCACCATCCAAAACATACAGGGTGGCCAAAAAAGCCGTAATGCATCATCGCGCCGTCTCGCCGAATCCCCAAGCCGGCCAACTCCCCCGAAACTTGGCAACGCCGCGCCCGCATTTCCTCCGCGCGATTCCCGTTCGATCTTCGATCGCTCGCTCGGCGCTCATTCGAACCACGACAGAGTCCGAACGCGCTCCGTTCGAGTTCCAAACCGCCACAGAACTACAGAACGTTCACAGAAGGCTCGCGGACGCGGCACAGAACGTACAAAGCGCACGAATCGATCGGGAATTCGCCGATTATCCAACAGGTTGCGGCCGGTTTTCGCGGTTCTTTCGAGTTTCCACACGCCGGCGTCGCGACGCCATCGCCATAACCGGAGGGGGCGTGCTGTTCGCTCCGCAAGAGCCGGACTTTCCGGGCTTCCTTATGGAAGGAGATCGTTCAGTGGATTTTTTTTAAATTGTATTTGTTTGGTTTTTGGGTCTAGTGTGCAGTGAACGCGGATTTTTTTTTACTTCTTTTACTCATTGGATTTACGTACTTTTCGACCGCACGCGGTATATTTATAATGGAAACCTTCGTTGTGGATAAGTCGTTTTACGATTTCGGCTCCGGCGATGATTTAAAGGAGCTGTGGGATACCGACGATTTGGATCCGGTAAGTGAGGAATTTCGGGGTTAATTTACATACAGGGTGGTGCGCTTAAGTCAAATCGAAAATAAAAAAAATGAATTTATTTCACCGAAAAAATAAGCGTATACAGGGGTCGTCTAAAATGTACTACTTCGATTTTAAGTGGTAGAATACAAAAATTCCCCAAAATTTATAATAACTGAATTAACAATCCATCCGTTACTAATTTGGGACACACTGTATATTAATTCAATCCAGGTACCATATAAATAAAAAACTAGGATTTAGCTATATCTCATTTTCATCCCCTATAGAACCTATAGAAAATACTGAGGTTAAATTAAATCATTAAAATGCTATAATACAAAAAAAATATCATAATTCTTAATTCGTTTGCTGAGATTTTCAACCAAATATCTACATAATTATCACAAATTTCCTTTTTTTTTTGTCGTACATTACCGGCACTTTGAGAGGCGCTCGCCCTGTATATTTGGAGCGAAAAAAATAGAGCGCCGGTTTTTTGGAAATGATCCGATGGAAATGTATCTAAATTGACATTGTAGAAAAGGATTTTCGGGCTGATAAACGCAAATCCGCTGGGCAAACACGATAGATTAGAAATGGAGGACGTTCTGAATCATTTCGTTATCTTTACGACGGTTCTAAGTCGAAAATCAATATGTTTTCGTTGAGAAAAAACTATGCAAGTTCGTTATTGCCCAAATTAAATAAATTGCCACACATTTCAGGTAATTTATGCGTACGTTGTAATCCCTACACTGAAAGAAATGGAGTATTGTTTCGCTGATTGGGGGATTACGATGCACGCGATTGTACATTCGATATTCGAAAATGCCGAGCGGGAAACATTTACATTTTTATCAACGAAATTTTATCCAACTGTTTACTTATAAATAGTTTTTTTTAACAAGTACCGATTAAACAGAAGGTCGTAGGAAAATAGTTTATTAAGTTTCCCGAAAATCTAAACGTGTGCGATTTTAAAGAACGAAGAAAAAACAATTAATTACTCTTGCAATTAGATAGGAGAAATGATGAATTTAAATGGCATCAAACCGTTAGTCACTGGTGCATTCCTGGCAATTATTTTTTCCGTTAATTACCGTTGTTTTGATTCCAATTATGAAAATAAAAAAAAATAATCTCTCGAAACACTATCGATATTGTACAGTTTGTAAACAAATCGAACGTGCAAGGTGATTTTATTTACATACGAGGTTTTTTCCTTACAATTTTAATGCTACAAATTCCCAATTACTCAAAATTTCGTAAGATATAAAGTTTTTCTACGAAAAATATTTATTTATTTGATTAACTAACGATCAATTAAGGAAGCAGACGTCTGTTATATCCCTCTAATTTCTCTCTGTAGCCGCGTTTAATTACCCTGCTGGGAGATATGAATGAGATCTAAGCGTTTTTCCTTATAGCTATTAAATTGCCTGTGGTAGAAAGTTACAAAAAGCATGTGTGCCGGGATAATAATAAAAGAATTTGCATCTGAGACACCCTGTATATAAAAGTGATTGATTCGTGATTGCAATATTGCCGAGAAACTAGAAAAATACGAGTCCTATTGTTAGGTAGGTGTGCCTAATAAAATTGCAATTGAGAGATTATTATTAGGTCATAGTCATACCGTTTCTATAACATTGAAAAGGACCTAGAAATTCCCTACCTAGATAGCTATAAATTTATTATCAATGAAATATGTTGCATTATAACTACTAAAAATCGTAATATTTGAATTAACAATACTAAAATTTGAGTAATTGCCGACGACATTTAAAAAAAATTCCTCACGTTTGTAGTAATTACTTCCACAGAAGTGTTTGGTAATTTGGAACACCCGGTGCATAACTAAACGACTCGGAACATCAAGTAGGCACCGAGTAATTGAATTAACTCAAGGGGGATAAATCTTCAATTGGACATTTAAATTAACCCACATTTATCTCGTTTTTCTACACTCCAAAAGGAATAGCTAGAGACGCGATCTGCGCGACTTTCGAAAGATTTTAAATAAAACGCAATTTCTCATACTATTAATTAGTAATTTAATATTCGAATAATTAATTATTTTATCGTCAAACAATGTATCGATATCAACAGAAATATTATCGTCAAAATACAATTGTAGATACGCCTGTACCTACATATTCAAATTCTACAATGAATGAATTTCTTATCAACATTACAAGCCGGATCTTTTCGACTTTTGGTCCTTCTGCGCCTCGTCAAAATTTCAACGGGATTCATGTAAATCGGCAACAAGCGAAATTGATATTTCGTTAAATCATCGATCCTGTTCGGATGGGTTTTTACGCGTTTCTGCAACGATCCGTGGATTATTTCCAGAGCCAGTTTCACTTCTAATTTACGAGCAGTTTTGAGTGTTTTCTTCAAAATCGAGTCATCCTCGGAAATTCTCATCCAAGCCGGGCATGCGCGAACGGCGGTCAATAACGATATGGGATCGAGCATTCTGCAAACAAATCGATTTATCGCATATTTATGCAATTAACTATACAGGGTGACTCAATCTAGACTGTAGATTGGCGATTGAGACATTTCGTTGATTCACCCTGTATAGAAAAAACGAACTTACCTCAATATATTCAACCATAATTCAACAGGAAGGGTCAGTAATTCCGATGGGGTGTCGAAATGCGGTAATAAACTGTACATGTTGATTACAAGTAACAGATTCAACTTTAAACACCACCTGATATTATTTAATTTTAGTAAATTTATCTTGCATACTAATAATATTGATGTCTTCTCGGAACTTCGATTCGAACTAATACACACATTTGTTTACCGAAAAAAAAACTTGTTTCGATTTATTTGTCCGATTTTGGATTTTTGCCGGTAAATATTAGGAGGGAGCGGGGCATGTTTGTTTTGTGTATGCTCCAATCGCCCTCATTATTAGTAGAATAGTGCATCAATCAATATTCTGTTGCGTATTACGAAAAATCACCCTGTATATTCGTGTAAGTACACACATAAAGATAATCGATTCGTCCATTCCGAACAGCCCACGACGCCGCCTTATCACTTATCAATGTGTGCTCTTATCGCCGGTTCGTGTAGCATGTACTACTTTTTAACTATCAATTTTGTTCATTCAATGGCGAAAAGGACATAAAATCGACAGGAACTGAAATAATGGCTGAAATACGACCGAATCGCTCACGTGAAGGCCGCATACAGTAGGCTTCGAGTACGCGAAAATATTGACCAGTCCTCGTACAGTTTCTTTATACAGGGTGTTCCTAAACATCGTGTACATCCGAAAGGGGGTGATTCCTTGGTTTATTTTATGACTAAAAGTTCATATAAATGTGGGTCAGCAAACGCATCGTTACCGATCTACAGGGTGTTGAAATTTAAAGATTTTTTTTTGATTTTTCTTTGTAGCTCTTGCAGTTTTTGAGATATTTAGCTCAAATTTACACATACAAATACAAACATTATTATTAACACAAATACAAAATAAATTGTCTGTTTTGTTAAGAATTTTATTTTATTTTTAAACTTTTTTCGTTTCTGTGACCGTTATCGAGAAAAAAATTAAAAACGATTTTCTTCTACAAATGATTTATTTTACAATACAAAAACCCTAAATAATAATTATTAAACTACATTATAACAAATGTTGAAAGTGAACCACTCCTACTCAAATTATACTCCCTATATCCTATACCTAATTTGAGCTGAATATCTCAAAAACTGCAAGAGCTCCAAAAAAGAAAAAAAAAAGTTGAAATTTCAACACCCTGTAGATCGGTAACGAAGCGTTTGCGGACCTATCTTTATATGAACTTTTTGTCATAAAATAAGCCAAGGAATCAACCCCTTTGTGCACGATGTTTAAGAACACCCTGTATTATTTTGAGGTTAAAGTTAAATGTCAAAATCAAGGTTACTGCACCGTCGAAGACTGCTCGAATACGATTTAATTTTAATTCCGATTAAAAAGGATCGGATGACGAAAAGTTCGGCTTATACGAGGAGCGTTCGATATGTAAACGAACCAATCGCCCTCTAACGAACCACAGAGACATTTCGAAAGCGAATTCGCATCGAACCCATATTGAAATGTGGGTCTTTGAACCCATCGCCCGGCCGCTTTCCCTATTTCATAGCCGCCCACGATCGCATTAGTAAGCCGGCATAGTAGGCGAACGAGTGGGTGATAAATTCGCGGAAAAATCCCCCCCGATTACCATAATCGCACGGGATACGCAATGGACTATATCCCGGATCTCTCGGCTCCATTTGGAGAAAATCCTAACACCTTTAGTACTTAATGGAAACGTCCCTCACGTACTCGGCTATTCTCATCGGTCTGTACTTACCGAATGGCCTAATTTTTGGCGCGTTTGATATTTTTTTGTATCTAGCGAAAGGAAAAGCGATTGCGGTCGAACAGTGAGCGATAAAATCAAACGATCTCTCTCCCACGCGTCCGTTTTCTCCATCATGCATAGCCGAGCTGATTGAATGCATTGCTCTTTTTACAGACGTTTATGTACCGAGTGTTACCGATTTCACTGGCGGTCGACGCGAATACGCGTATGTAGAAAATGTGTAAGTATTTGCCGGTATCTAGATCGTGAAGTTAATTCGTTTTAACGCGTCGGCTGCCGTGGTAGTTTGATGGACAATTAATTGTTTTTTTTTTGATAAGAGCGCTGTTATTGTTTGTTGGTTTTGCCTTAATTATTCATTTTCCTTGAGTAGTATTTGCTGGCATATGTGATGAGGATATTTGTAGTCAAATAACTAGAAATTTTTAGTATGTTTAATTCGAGTTTTTTTGATTTTTTGGACGATTTTTAGTTTCTATTTTTTAATGGATGTATGAGTACATGTAGGTAGTTTCATTTTTCCACATTTATTATATAGAAGTACTGTTTTTTACGTTATTTATGTTTGTATACTGATATAACGATAGCTAATAATTGAATGCGTATCTACTCTACAGGGTGATTCAAATTATATTTTCGAAAAAATAACATTTATGGGATTATTAGTTGGAAAAAGTGCAATAAACAGAACAACAACTTCCAATTAAACCTTATGAATAAATTTCGATGTAATTCCAAAAGATACGAGCATTTTTGAAATTACGTAAACAAATTTTTCGAATATCCATCGAGTTGATAAGGTTGCTTAGAAATTTAGAAAAGTCGAGAATACATAGAAAACCGGTTGCTAGAGAGAAATAAAATGAAATTGATGATGATATACAATCGAATCTAAAAGCGGTTTTTTCCCATAGGAAGTTCAAGGTGAATGAAGTTCGGAATTGTACACGAATTTCTTTGGTATAATTGCTCAATTTCATTAATATATAATTTTTTACACAAAAATTTCTTCTATATTTAATATAAAAATTAGTCAATTCGGGTTTTCCGTGATCTTGACATTGAGATAAAACCACCTCTTCGGGTTAAAAATTTTCAAAATATTTACACATAAATAAGTTTATCGCATTAATAAAAATTTCCAAGGTCCCAATAAACAGCAGGTCGGCTCATCGCGATTCGCGAATGACGTCACATTCAAATATTCCCGCACTTTTGACATATTAGTGACAAGTCCAATTAATCCATCGTTGCCGGTTCATCCTCGTGCCGGGCCCCCCGAAAGGCCGCTTCCCCAGCGGCCCCCCGGAGCGCATTCTATGCATCAATGAAACCGAAGAACCGGAACAAGACGATGATGATGGCGATGATGAAGAAGGACCGGCAGAACAGACCTCTTCGAGCCGCGGCGATTTTTTCCTCCGGCTTCTGACCTAACAGTACCGCAGTGTAAACGACCTTCCTGTTATTCGACGGTGAAGAGTACCGGGCGTGCGGCGTTGCCGCTTCTCCGGCGAATTTCCGGGAGTTCGGGGATTTTCGGTCTCTGTACCGGTCGGCTATTCGGCGAGGTTTTTCGAGGAGTTTGTATAGTCGATTTGGCAACGTCGCCGCGAATCGAGTTTATGGTTATATCGTAAGGAATGTGGTCGGAAATGGCTATGCTAATTCGTTTTATTTTTTTTGGAAAAAATGGAAAATTTGTGGCGATTTGAGTAGATTAAATTCGTGATTAATTTAGTAAAAAAATTATTGGAAATCGCTTGATTAATCGGCTGATTGGTTAGTAAAATTAGTTCGAGAATCGTATAGCGAAGACGAATTAATTTTAGAAAATATTCCTCATTGGAGCGAATAAGTTTTTATTCGAATCAACTGACGTTTTCGAACTGAAATCGGCTCGGAATTTCCATATCGATTGTACTTTTAAATTTGTTTAGAAACTCGAAAAAAACTGAATCGATTCATGAAAATTAATCGATATATTTCGAAACCGGGCGGGCGAATTTATCGATCTGAAAACGGCCGATTTGACGATTCAATTCCGATCGAATTGCGATAATCCCATTTCGAAACAATAAAACATTAAACCGGCTAAATATAAACGCGTCGAAATTTTCGAAACGACATTGAATGAAATCGCCGTTAAACTTTATCGCTTCCCGATACAATATCGATATTAAAATTCTCGCGCGAATTTAACCCAATCGGTTTTCCGGCGTATTTTCTTTGGATCAAATGCAATTTCTAATCGCGGTTTTTGTCGCAATTCTCCATTTACGAAATGCACGATGCCCGGTGAAACATGCGGGTGAAAGGAAATCGATAAATCCATCGATTCGCATCGATACGAATCTAATCCATTAATCTCCATTTTATTTTAAACGTTCCGAGAATCCCGCTTAATTTATTGACTGTTTCTACATAATAAAATAAATTCGACACCTCGTATTCTAAAAACATTATTTTACGAGGGCAGTGGGATAGTTAAAATTATTCAACTACTAAAGCATCGATCTAAACAGCTAACTTGCATTGTATAATAATATAAAAGATCGGTTACGAGGGTAGGGGAATAATTAAAACCGTCGAACGTTGAAATTTCGATTATTTCCGACTTTCCATTCGAAACGATCGATCGAATACAATCATATTTAATTGAGCACAATGAAATATTACCCTCATAATATTAATTTCTATTCGTAACTACTTCGATTTACTACCGGGTGCACTTAACTTACAATACTCACTATAAATTTTTATTAATAGATGTTGGTGGGCAATATAAAATGAATATGAAAGATAAGAATTTAATGTAATTTATCATGTGAGTGTGTGTATGCGTGTTTTATTTACATATCTAATACAAAAGCTCTATTATCTACTTCCTATTGTATTTTAGTTTCTATACAGTTAATGTGGATGTTTGTTTGGTTCTCGTTCAATTAACAGGTAGTTAAATAATCGGGTAATTAAATCCGATTAATCACAAACTCATCGGAATCGCCTCAAGACAACATTCGTTAAAATTAAGCTCTATTTAACTAGTTATCCTCTAGGCGCAAAAACCCAATCAATTATCTAGTCTGGTCGAGGTGCCAGGAAAATTAAACTATTAATTTTCGAATGTAGAGATGCTAATAATCCTTTATATAAAATTTTCGACGCAAGCGTAAAAATAGAAACGAAACGGGTTCGTTAGCCCCCGCAGGAGCCGTGCCCCCCTGTGCCCCCTAGGAGCGGCTCAAATCGACCGATCAAGGTCACAGGTCGTCTAGGATCTTTTATTGCGACCATTAAACTCGGTTTTTACGTAACCAAACGACTTCCTAGGCGACGCGGCTCTCTCACATTCGCATTCGCATTATAGTTACAATACGAGGGGACGTCCGAAAGAAGATTTCGAATTTGCTCCGA